CTCGGTTTCGGTGCTTTTTGTCATCAGCATCATCGTGTTGATTATAATGCAGTGCTCTAAATCGACAGACTATTCGTCCAAGTATTTATGGGACATAAATTACAACGAGATTCTGTGTCACAGCATCCAGTACAGATCTGGAGACAAACGGTACATGTTAGTTGGACCCAGAATGGAAAATCCTTTGGAAATGCATTACGTAGAAGTAGAAATATCAGATATAAACGACCATTCTCCTAGTTTTCCTGAAAAAGAGCAGCGCTTACGAATTTATGAAAATACGCTCCCTGGCGCTGATTATCAATTATCAGAATGAGTATCGGCTCTACTATAGTCCCAGGCAGTAATGGCAATACTCTAGTGATCCCAGATGGAGGAGAGATTCTGGAGAGGTAAGAGTGACAGATTATTTCTAATTACAATCAGTGTGTTGGTTTTTATATTGTGTGTTTTTACTTATGAATTCACAGAGCGAAGTCTCGTTTAGTAGCCTACTTTGTTTGATATTTAAATTTTCTGATCGTAATTGTAGGTAACCACAGTTTACAGGGTGCTGTCCACTGCGTTGGTGCTGAAATTTGATGCAAATCCTACAGAATATGATTGATTGTAAAATGCATAATTTCTGTGATAGAAAAATGCTTAAATCACTTTTTTTTGCATTTTATGAAAACATTTTAATAAGCAGTAACGTTTGTCATCAAAAACACTGAATAGAGGTACACTTTAATATTTTTCATGTTAAGTTGTTAAGTTTACATCTTTTCAGTGTTTTTATGACTGACAGTGGTTTATTTCAAAATATTTTCAAGTGTTTTGAAACCACTTGGTGTCGTATTGCTCCAGGATTTGTTCAGAATATTGAGTCCTGCCCCTGATGATGATGCGAGTAGGGCTGTGTTGTTTTTTTTCACACACACTGAAAAGGCTCGGGATGCATGGATTTGTACTGACGGTTCTTGAAAAGACCAATTTCAAATTTTCTTATTTTTTCATTATGTACTTGCCATTCACACTCGAATACGGCCTTTAATAATCGAGGATATATACATTTGATCCTAGAGAAACTGTTTGCTAAGCGCGCGTGATGGAAGCTGGAGGACAAAGGCGCAGATGGGAGTACTGCTGGATTGCTTTGTGTATTTCTTTTCTCCTTGGCATCGGACATCAAGTCTCAGCTCAGATAAGATATTCAGTTCCAGAAGAAGTAAAAGAAGGGAGCGCTGTCGGAAATATTGCAAAGGATTTGGGTCTTGAAGTAAGTAGTTTGGTGGACAGGCAGTTTCGAATCGTTTCTGGATCTAAGGAGGAGCTTTTTCAAATAAATCAGGAAAATGGCGTTTTGTACGTTCATAAGAAAATCGACAGAGAGTCTGTGTGTGCTGGCAGCGGTGTTTGCATGGTCAATTTAAAAACCGTTATTGAAAATCCTTTGGAAATGCATTACGTAGAAGTAGAAATATCAGATATAAACGACCATTCTCCTAGTTTTCCTGAAAAAGAGCAACGCTTACGAATTTATGAAAATACGCTCCCTGGCGCTGATTATCAGTTACAGGCTGCCAAAGATCCTGATTCTGGAAAGAATTCAATCCGGTCTTATAAGTTAAGTCCTAATGATCATTTTGAAATTCGAGTTAGAGAGAGTGATGAGGATAAAATGCCATTTTTAGTCCTTAAGAAGGCTGTTGATAGGGAGATTACAACTACATACAAGCTAATTTTAACAGCAGTTGACGGAGGAAATCCTCCGAGATCTGGCACCCTTAACATTACCATTATCGTTCTAGATATCAATGATAATCGCCCTGTATTTAGTCGAGAGTCATACTCTGTGACACTGTCGGAAAACTCTGTTATTGGCACTATGGTTGTTCGAGTAAATGCAACTGATATGGATGAGGGCACAAACAGTGATATTGAATACAGTTTTTCAACGTTAAATAGCAAAGTGCACGAGGTTTTTGAGCTCGATCAGGTCACAGGTGAAATACGTGTAAAGGGGGAAGTGGATTTTGAAGATACAGAAGTGTATAAACTCGATATTCAGGCATCAGATAAGGGGCATCCACCAATGTCTGGAAAGTCTAGAATTGTTATTAAGATTATTGATGTGAATGACAACCGGCCTGAGATTGAGATTACATCGCTTTCTAAGAACATCCCTGAAGATTCTAAACCTGGAACGGTAATTTCTCTCGTCAGTGTGACTGATAAAGACGCAGGGATCAATGGTAAAGTGATTTGTCAGTTAAGCAAAAATATTCCCTTTGAACTAAAGCCTTCTTTCAAAGACAATATGTACTCTTTAGTGACAAAAGATCGGTTAGATAGAGAGATGAATTCACGATATGACATTACAATAACTGCCTCTGATTTAGGTCAGCCGTCTTTGACTGCATCGACCACTTTAAGCGTTCAGATTTCTGATGTGAATGATAATGCTCCGGAATTTTTATTAAATCCTCTAGATCTCTACTTAATGGAAAACAATGCAGCCGGTTCCTCCATAATTTCAGTAAGCGCCTCTGATCGAGACACAGCTGAAAATGCCGTCATATCCTATCACATAATTAGAGGTGATGGAACTCATAATGTTTTGTCATCTTTCTTAAATATAAATTCCGAGACAGGTATTGTTTATTCGTTAAAGAGCTTTGACTTTGAAACGGCTAAAACGTTCCAGTTCCACGTGCTCGCTACAGACTCTGGAACTCCGTCTCTGAGCAGTAACGGTACTCTTTAGTGACAAAAGATCGGTTAGATAGAGAGATGAATTCACGATATGACATTACAATAACTGCCTCTGATTTAGGTCAGCCGTCTTTGACTGCATCGACCACTTTAAGCGTTCAGATTTCTGATGTGAATGATAATGCTCCGGAATTTTTATTAAATCCTCTAGATCTCTACTTAATGGAAAACAATGCAGCCGGTTCCTCCATAATTTCAGTAAGCGCCTCTGATCGAGACACAGCTGAAAATGCCGTCATATCCTATCACATAATTAGAGGTGATGGCACACAGAATGTTTTGTCATCTTTCGTAAATATAAATTCAGAGACAGGTATTGTTTATTCGTTAAAGAGCTTTGACTTTGAAACGGCTAAAACGTTCCAGTTCCATGGGTACTCCGTTTGAGCTAAAACCTTCTTTTCAGGAAAATATTTATTCGCTTGTGACGCAAAAGGCTTTAGATCGGGAGTTGGTTGCTCATTATGACATTTTATTAACTGTTACTGATCTAGGGCAGCCTCCTTTGTCCTCAGTAAAGACTTTAAGCATTGAGGTTTCAGATGTGAATGATCATAAACCAGAATTTCCGCAGAATCCTCTCGAGCTTTTCATATTCGAAAATAATCCGCCCGGCGCGTCAGTTTTTTCCATTAGCGCACTTGACAACGACATGAACGACAATGCTGTAATTTCATATCATATAATTAGAGGTGATGGAACAAAAGGCGATTTATCGTCATTCCTGAATGCCAATTCTGAAACTGGAGCTATCCATGCGCTTAAAAGTTTTGATTTTGAAACGATGAAAACTGGACAGTTTCACGTGCTCGCTACAGACTCTGGGACTCCGTCTCTGAGCAGTAACGTGACAGTGAACGTGTTTATTCTGGATCAGAACGACAACGTTCCAGTGATCTTATATCCAGTCAGCGCTAACGGTTCTGCTGAGGGTGTGGAAGAGATTCCTCGTAATGTGAACGCAGGTCATTTGGTGACTAAAGTCAGAGCCTATGACGCAGATATAGGATACAACGGCTGGTTATTATTTTCACTGCAGGAAGTTAGTGACCACAGTCTCTTTGGTTTGGACCGCTACACAGGACAGATAAGGACCCTTCGCTCATTCACAGAAACAGACGAGGCCCAGCATAAACTGCTCATACTGGTCAAAGACAATGGGAACGTTTCTCTCTCAGCAACAGCGACTGTGATTGTCAAAGTTGTGGAGCCCAAAGAGGCTTTTGCAGCTTCTGATGTGAAAAACACAGTAAAACACGAGGAGGAAAACAACGTGACGTTTTTTTTGATCATCACTTTGGGCTCAGTTTCAGTGCTTTTTGTCATCAGCATCATCGTGTTGATTGTAATGCAGTGCTCTAAATCGACAGACTATTCGTCCAAGTATTTACAGGATACAAATTACGACGGGACTCTGTGTCACAGCATCCAGTACAGATCTGGAGACAAACGGTACATGTTAGTTGGACCCAGAATGAGTATCGGCTCTACTATAGTCCCTGGCAGTAATGGCAATACTCTAGTGATACCAGATCGCAGGAGGAGAGATTCTGGAGAGGTAAGAGGATGTGAATTATATTAAACTACACTTTCTCAGGCTTACTGTCATCAAATTGTGATTTTTTTTTTCAGGATCGAATTCACTATGTGGGTTATTTTTTTATTCTGACTAATAAGAGCATTATTTATTCATTGTTTGCTTGGGAATTAAGTTTTGAACGATGGAATAAGTATTCGTTGTCCATGGTGCTGAATTGTTTCACCTTTGTAGAATAACAATCTTTCCTATCATAATTTGTCGGAAAAGTGCTTATCTCTTTCTTTAGTTTTACTATTTTAAATATTGTATAATAGATATGTTGCGATAAGAATATAAGTGTCATTTATTAAATTATTTCTTTCAGACGTTCCTGTATGTGTCGGGCAGTCATTTACGGTCGCCTTTGGTGGCATATATAACAATTCATGTTTATCTGTTTGTACCATGTGGTGTCAGTGTTACATAAGGATATTCAGGAGAGATTGTGCCCTGCCCATTAATAATGTGGTGCGCATGGCTGTTCTGTTCATTTTCACTGCGATGGGAGCTACAGTATATATCACGAGAAGCTGGATATTAGCATTTTCCTCTGTTATTTAAAAGCGACGATATTACAATGAATACACGCTCTCATGAATGAGTAGTTCACTCTCGCAAATGATCTGAAATTTTATTATTATTATTGTTTTAAAGAAATCTTTTAACGATGGAAGCCGCAGGACAAAGGCGCAAATGGGAGTGCTGGTGGATTGCTTTGTGTTTCTGTTTGCTGCTGAGGTTTGGGCTGCAGGCTTCAACTCAAATACGATATTCTATACCAGAGGAGGTAAATGAGGGATCTATTGTGGGAAATATCGCAAAGGATTTGGGTCTTGATACGAATACTCTGGTGGACAGGCGTTTCCGTATCGTCTCTGGATCGAAAGACGCTCTTTTTGAGGTAAATCAGAACAACGGTGAATTGTATGTGAGTAAGAAAATTGACAGAGAGGAGTTGTGTGATGGAAATAGCGCGTGTCTGATAAATCTGAAAATCGCCGTTGAAGATCCACTTGAAATACATTATGTTGGAGTAGAAATCGCAGACGTGAATGATCACAGTCCTCGTTTTCCCGAGAAAGAACAGCATTTTGAAATGGCTGAAAACACTATTGAAGGTGCACGTTTCGAGCTCCAAACTGCAAGAGATCCTGACATTGGAAGCCATTCTATTCGGCTTTATAAATTAGCAAAGAGTAATTTTTTTGAGCTAGAAATGAGAGAGGGTGACGAAGAGGAAAATAATCCAATTTTAGTCTTACGTAAACCTTTAGACAGAGAGAAAAATTCAGAGCATAGACTCGTGTTGACTGCTGTGGATGGAGGCATCCCCCCAAAGTCAGGTACATTGAATATTACTATTACTGTTCTTGATATCAACGATAACCGCCCTGTATGTAGTAGAGATATATATTCAGTAACGCTTCCAGAAAACACACCTATAGGGACAGTAATAGCACGCGTAAATGCCACTGATTCTGATGAGGGTTTAAATGGGGAGGTTATTTACACTCTGGGAAAAACTAGTAGACGAAAAGTTCATGAAATATTTAGCCTTGATAGCGTAACTGGCGAAATTCAGATTAAAGATCCAATCGATTTTGAGGAGAGCGAGATACATAGATTGACCGTCCAGGCTACGGATAAGGGTCAGCCACCGATGACCACTGACTGCAGAGTCCTTATAAAGATCACAGACGAAAATGATAATAATCCCGAGATAGACGTCACGTCCCTTTCTAACACAATTTCCGAGAATGCAAAACCTGGAACTGTAATATCTCTGATTAGTGTATCAGATAAAGACTCTAGTGTTAATGGCAAGGTTGTTTGTAGTCTTTCAGACAATGTTCCGTTCGAGTTAAAGCCATCTGTTCAGGAAAACATGTATTCTTTAATTACTAAAGAACGCTTGGACAGGGAATTTACCTCAGATTATAAAATCACAATGAAAGCCAGTGATTTAGGTCAACCGCCTCTCTCTTCTTTTAAAACTGTTACTGTGCAGGTGGTTGATGTTAATGATAATAAACCAGAGTTTGTCAAAAATCCCCTCGAGTTGTATTTATTGGAAAATAACACTCCTGGTGCATCAGTATTCTCTGTGAGCGCGTCAGACAAAGATCTTAATGAAAATGCCGCGATCTCATATCAGATAGCTAGAGGAAATGGAACCGAGAGTGATATGTCTTCATTTCTCAGTATTAACCATGAAAGTGGCGTTATCCATGCTCTTAAAAGTTTTGATTTTGAATCTGTAAAAAAGTTTCAGTTCCAAGTTGTTGCTACAGACTCTGGAACTCCGTCTCTGAGCAGTAACGTGACAGTGAACGTGTTTATTCTGGATCAGAACGACAACGTTCCAGTGATCTTATATCCAGTCAGCGCTAACGGTTCTGCTGAGGGTGTGGAAGAGATTCCTCGTAATGTGAACGCAGGTCATTTGGTGACTAAAGTCAGAGCCTATGACGCAGATATAGGATACAACGGCTGGTTATTATTTTCACTGCAGGAAGTTAGTGACCACAGTCTCTTTGGTTTGGACCGCTACACAGGACAGATAAGGACCCTTCGCTCATTCACAGAAACAGACGAGGCCCAGCATAAACTGCTCATACTGGTCAAAGACAATGGGAACGTTTCACTCTCAGCGACAGCGACTGTGATTGTCAAAGTTGTGGAGCCCAAAGAGGCTTTTGCAGCTTCTGATGTGAAAAACTCAGTAAAAGATGAGGAGGAAAACAACGTGACATTTTATTTGATCATCACTTTGGGCTCGGTTTCAGTGCTTTTTGTCATCAGCATCATCGTGTTGATTGTAATGCAGTGCTCTAAATCGACAGACTATTCGTCCAAGTACTTACAGGACACAAATTACGACGGGACTCTGTGTCACAGCATCCAGTACAGATCTGGAGACAAACGGTACATGTTAGTTGGACCCAGAATGAGTATCGGCTCTACTATAGTCCCGGGCAGTAATGGAAATACTCTAGTGATCCCAGATCGCAGGAGGAGAGATTCTGGAGAGGTAAGCAAATTTTAAGAACATAACAGAAATTATGTTGTTAATTTCCCCCCCCAAAAATCTGAATTCTTCCTATTTTCTTATAAGACTCTATCATAAGGAGCGTATTGTTCAACTGGAGTAAAACAGTCACTAAATTGTGTTTCTGAACTTGGAAAAGACGTGGATCGTTGTTTGTGGAGCTGATCTTTTATTATTTTGTTTGCTTTATATTATTTTCTGTATTGATGCTGTATTTATGTGTATCTATCTATGTGGACGCGCAGCGTGATTCTCTTATTTGGTGCATTTTGATGTAATAGCTACTGTACAACAGAATGCAATGCACTACAGCTGTAAAACCGCGAAGTGTCAGTGTGATCCTAGAATACGGCTCATGACGTCAAATACTGTTATTCCTCCCCTTTGCACGTATTGCTTGTCCTTCCTACTGGTCGATGGATTCAGTGATTTCTTGCTTTTGCTATTAAGCGGTTCGTTTCTTTTTCTGCATTAAATATCAACTTTTAGGTGTAAAAGAAATGCTTAATCTAGTCGAGCGAGTGATATAGAGGAACTGTCATAGAACCAGCCTGTATTATCTGCAAAATGGAACAAAGAAAATACGCGCAATGGCCAATGGAGCACACGGAATTTACTCTCTTGGCTGCATTGCTTGTGTTTGGTGCGATGGGACGAGAGCAAATTCAGTACTCAATCTCAGAGGAGCAGAAGGACGGAGCTGCTGTGGGAAATATCGCGAAGGATTTGGGCATAGATCATCGAACCTTAAAAGAGCGAGGATTTCGGATCGTCTCGACTTCAGGCGAGTCCATGTTCAGTGTGAATCAGAATGACGGTGTCTTGTATGTGAACGGTAAAATAGACAGAGAAGAGGTATGCGAGAGGAGCACCCCATGTTTAATTAATCTGAAATTCGCTCTAGAAAACCCACTTGAAATCCACTACGTAACTATAGAGATTCTGGACATAAATGACCACGCTCCGAGTTTTCCTGAGAGCGAGATGCATTTAGAGATCGGAGAATCTGCTCTTCCCGGCACCCGATTTCAGCTTGAGGCTGCGCGCGATTCTGATAGTGGAAGTAATTCTGTGCATCATTACAAACTCAGTCATAACGATAATTTCCGCCTTGAAATCAAAGATCGTGGAGAAGATGGTAAAATTCCCATCTTGATTTTACAAAAACCTTTAGACCGAGAGTTTATTCGAAACATTAAATTACAGTTAATTGCTGTCGATGGGGGAAAGCCTGCCAAGTCTGGGACAATGGAGATAACTATTAACGTTTTAGATATAAACGATAACGTGCCAGTGTTTACAAAAGATGTTTATTCAGTCATGCTGAATGAAAATGCACCTATTGGTACAACTGTGATACAGGTCAACGCCACAGATTTGGATGAGGGCCCGAATGGTGACATAGTTTATTCATTTGGTAAAAGCGTTAATAGTAAAGCAAGAAAGCTGTTTGATATTAACACCGCCACTGGTGAGATAACCGTAAAGGGGCTATTAGATTATGAGGACAAAGACAGCTATGAGATTGATATACAAGCATCTGGCAAGGGACTAATTCCAATGATTACTGATCAGAGCGTGACCATAAAAATAGTTGATGTAAATGATAATGCTCCAGAAATAGAGGTCACATCATTTTCAAACTCCATTCCAGAGGATTCTAAAACTGGTACTACAGTGGCTTTGATTAGTGTTTCTGATTTAGACTCTGGATTCAATGGCAAAGTCACTTGTTCTTTAGAAGATAACATGCCTTTCAAACTAATAGCTTCTTCACAGCATAGCACATATTCATTAGTTACCACCTCACCTTTAGACAGAGAAACAAAGTTTCAGTATTACATCACATTAACTGCAAAAGATTTGGGTCAGCCATCATTATCTTCTCTTAAAACTATAACTGTTCTGATATCAGATGTAAATGACAATAGTCCAGAATTCTCATTTTCCCCATATGCATTTTATGTGATGGAAAATAATGTGCCAAGCAAATTTTTATTTTCTGTTTCTGCTACTGACAAAGACTCTAAAGAAAATGCTATTCTTAGCTATCACATATGGAGAGAAAGTAGTGAGGAAAACAAATATACGTCCTTCATTAATATTAACTCTGAAAATGGGGAGATTTATGCACTAAAGAGCTTTGACTTTGAAACTCTTAAAACATTCCAGTTCCACGTTCTCGCTACAGACTCTGGAACTCCGTCTCTGAGCAGTAACGTGACAGTGAACGTGTTTATTCTGGATAAGAACGACAACGTTCCAGTGATCTTATATCCAGTCAGCGCAAACGGTTCTGCTGAGGGTGTGGAAGAGATTCCCCGTAATGTGAACGCAGGTCATTTGGTGACTAAAGTCAGAGCCTATGACGCAGATATAGGATACAACGGCTGGTTATTATTTTCACTGCAGGAAGTTAGTGACCACAGTCTCTTTGGTTTGGACCGCTATACAGGACAGATAAGGACCCTTCGCTCATTCACAGAAACAGACGAGGCCCAGCATAAACTGCTCATACTGGTCAAAGACAATGGGAACATTTCACTCTCAGCAACAGCTACTGTGATTGTCAAAGTTGTGGAGCCCAAAGAGGCTTTTGCCGCTTCTGATGTGAAAAACGCAGTAAAAGACGAGGAGGAAACCAATGTGACATTTTATTTGATCATCACTTTGGGCTCAGTTTCAGTGCTTTTTGTCATCAGCATCATCGTGTTGATTGTGATGCAGTGCTCTAAATCGACAGACTATTCGTCCAAGTATTTACAGGACACAAATTACGACGGGACTCTGTGTCACAGCATCCAGTACAGATCTGGAGACAAACGGTACATGTTAGTTGGACCCAGAATGAGTATCGGCTCTACTATAGTCCCTGGCAGTAATGGAAATACTCTAGTGATCCCAGATCGCAGGAGGAGATGTTCTGGGGAGGTAAGCAAATGACTTGTGCATCTGTGTATTAGTTGTATGAAATAATCTTAAGGCAGATGTTGGCTGCTCTCCATGGTACTGAACCTGCTCAGGATGTTTTTCAAATGGAATACTGTTAGTATCTCTATCTTTATAAATTCAGATTGTATTTGTTATTTAGACTTAGGATTTACATTACCAATGCACAGGTATATTAAATATATAAAAAATATATTAACATAGAGCCATTGAAGGAGGAAAGGGAAAAAAATTAAGTACTAATAAAATAGGAATAGAGCATTTTGTCATTGGTTTATTTAATATATGTATAATTGGGGCATGCTAATAAAGTGTGATTCTTTTTCCATTTAATTTCATGTGCATTAAGTGCAGTCTTTTGTTTGCTAGGTCTGTCTGTGCCTGTTCATCTCTATAGCAAGGTTTTGTTACTTGGTCTGCATATGGTCGGGACTTTTTTTTACTTTAGGATTGGTCCTGTGTTTAACTGTTGGTTTGTGAATACACCCAAATCGCATGTCCATAGAGTGTGATGGTTGTTGTAATTGACTGAATTGTTTTAGTCAGATTCTGTTTGAAATTAACATATTTACATATTAAATGTAAATTCATATTATTTTTTAGCATTAAACACCTCTTCATTCACAGCCTTGTTTAGATTTCATGTGTTGCTGATGTTTATTCCAAGGTATGTGTATTTCTGAGCTTGTTCTAAAGGCCTGGTCTGGCTTAAAGTTGTGATGCTGGTCTTGGCAGGTGCGTTTTTGTCCCAAATCTCTCTTTCTTTCTCTTTCCCTTTCACTCACTCACTTGTTTTAATAAAACAGTACGTTCAGTCTAATGGGAGAATATTGAATATTTAAAACATAGCTTAAATCACAGTTTTTGTGGATGGTTTTTAAGTCCACTGATGAAACTACATGCATTTGACACCAGTGAAATGTTTTTTTGGAAGCTGCAATGTAACTAACGCTTTAGATCGCGAGATGTCAGTGTAAACCTAGAGAAAGACTCATGACGTCAATCGGTGGCTCATGAGTTTTTTTTGTTCCGCCTTCTCAGTTTATTCGTGTGTTTTCTAATTTTCAGCACCGCAGCTGTTAGATTTGTCAGGATTGAGTACAGCGTCCTTGCCTTGTCTGACTGGGTTTCAGCGTAAATGTGAGCAACGATGGAACTATACAACAAATATTTGTAGATTGATCATGAAATTCCGGTGGAACGGGTTTTTGTAATCTCAGAAAAATGGAACAAAGAAGACGCTCTCATCAGCTGGAGCTGAATGCGAAACTCGCTTTCATTGTTTTATCGCTGTTGTTTGGGAGAGCAGTTTGGGCACAAATACGGTACTCGATCTCGGAGGAGCAGAAGGACGGAGCTGCTGTGGGAAATATCGCGAAGGATTTAGGTATTGATCACAGAACACTAAAGGAAAGAGGATTTCGCATCGTCTCGACCTCAGGCGAGTCAATGTTCAGTGTGAATCAGCATGACGGTGTCTTGTATGTTAACGGTAAAATAGACAGAGAGGAGGTATGCGAGAGAAGCACACCGTGTTTAATCAACCTGAAAATTGCTTTAGAAAACCCGCTAGAAATCCACTATGTCACTGTAGAGATATTAGATGTAAACGATCACAGTCCGATGTTTTCCGAGAATGAAAAGCGGCTGGAAATTTGGGAATCCGCCCTGCCAGGCGCGCGATATCCGCTACAGGCAGCGCATGATCCTGATAGTGGAAGCAATTCGGTTCAAACATACAAACTCGGCCACAACGATCATTTCCGTCTTGAGATTAAAGACCGAGAAGAAGATGGTAAAATTCCTATTCTGATTTTACACAAGCCGCTTGACAGGGAAGTGACGAAAAACTTAAAATTAGAATTGACTGCTTTCGATGGAGGGAGACCTCCTAAGTCTGGCTCAATAGAAATATTTATTGATGTGCTGGATATTAACGATAATGTACCTGTTTTTACGAAGGACGCTTACACGGTGACATTAAATGAAAACGCACCTGTGGGCACAACAGTTGTAAAGGTCAATGCCACTGATTTGGACGAGGGTCAAAATGGAGAGGTAGTTTATGCATTGGGAAATAATGTCAAGAATAATTTACGCAGACTTTTTGAAGTTAATGAAATCACTGGAGAAATTATTTTGAGAGATCGTTTGGATTTTGAGGTCAAGGATAAATATGAGATTGACATTCAGGCGTCTGACAAAGGAACGGTTCCTCTTGCGACGGATAAAAGCGTAATCATAAAAATAGTTGATGTAAATGATAATGCGCCGGAAATAGAAGTCACATCATTTTCAAGCGCCATTCCAGAGGATTCTAAAACTGGTACTACAGTGGCTTTGATAAGCGTCACCGATTTAGACTCCGGGCTCAATGGAAAAATTTCCTGTTCACTCTCCGAAGATATACCTTTTAAACTAATGCCGTCATCACAAGTTAATATTTATTCTTTAGTTACTTCTGGATTACTTGACAGAGAAACGAAATTTCAGTATCACATTACATTAAGTGCAAAAGATATGGGGCAGCCATCATTGTCTTCTGTTAAAACTATAACTGTTCTGATATCAGATGTAAATGACAATACTCCGGAATTCTCATTTTCCCCGTATGCGTTTTATGTGATGGAAAATAATGTCCCAGGCAAATTTTTATTTTCTGTGTCTGCTACTGACAAAGACGCAAACGAAAATGCTATAGTTAGCTATCAAACATGGAGAGGAAGTAGCGAAGAAAAATATACATCTTTCATTAATATTAACTCTGAAAATGGGGAGATTTATACGCTAAAGAGCTTTGACTTTGAAACTGTTAAAAAATTCCAGTTCCAAGTTGTTGCTACAGACTCTGGAACTCCGTCTCTGAGCAGTAACGTGACAGTGAACGTGTTTATTCTGGATCAGAACGACAACGTTCCAGTGATCTTATATCCAGTCAGCGCTAACGGTTCTGCTGAGGGTGTGGAAGAGATTCCTCGTAATGTGAACGCAGGTCATTTGGTGACTAAAGTCAGAGCCTATGACGCAGATATAGGATACAATGGCTGGTTATTATTTTCACTGCAGGAAGTTAGTGACCACAGTCTCTTTGGTTTGGACCGCTATACAGGACAGATAAGGACCCTTCGCTCATTCACAGAAACAGACGAGGCCCAGCATAAACTGCTCATACTGGTCAAAGACAATGGGAACGTTTCTCTCTCAGCGACAGCGACTGTGATTGTCAAAGTTGTGGAGCCCAAAGAGGCTTTTGCAGCTTCTGATGTGAAAAACACCGTAAAAGACGAGGAGGAAAACAATGTGACATTTTATTTGATCATCACTTTGGGCTCGGTTTCAGTGCTTTTTGTCATCAGCATCATCGTGCTAATTGTAATGCAGTACTCTAAATCGACAGACTATTCGTCCAAGTATTTACAGGATACAAATTACGACGGGACTCTGTGTCACAGCATCCAGTACAGATCTGGAGACAAACGGTACATGTTAGTTGGACCCAGAATGAGTATCGGCTCTACTATTGTTCCTGGCAGTAATGGAAATACTCTAGTGATCCCAGATCGCAGGAGGAGAGATTCTGGAGAGGTAAGCAATTGCCTTATGCATCTGTGTATTAGTTGTAGGAAACAATATTAAGACACAAGTTGGCTGCTCTCCGTGGTACTGAACCTGCTCAGTTAAGTACTGTTATTCAAATGGAACACCGTTAGTATCTCTGCCTTTCTTAGATTCAGATTTATTTATGATTTAGATTTAGGATTTTACATTACCAAAGCACAGGAATATTAACTCGGTGTGTAACTACTATTTAGGTGGTCATGGAATTTAATGGCTGATTTATTTTAATTATTTGTGTGTTCCCTTCTTATTCTGCTCTAGAAGGGATTATTTGAAATTTTACACTGCAATAGGAGTAGATTTTTGCTGAACTCTGCTTGCAGTCTCTAATGGTGTTTGTCCGTTTAATAAACAGTTGGTCTGTGAACGGACCCCAGATCGCGCATCCATAGAGTGTGATGGTTTTTGTAACTGACCGGATTATTTTCAGCCAGATTCTGATTGAAATGTAAATTAATATTCTTCTCAACAGTACAATACTCTTTATGCCTTGTCCCCCAGATTGTTTGCAGTTTTGACGTTTCCTGTTCTGCTGATGTTTATTCTAAGGGTTGTGTAGTTCTAAGTGTGTTTTAAGGGCATACTGTCTAATTTTAAGTTATGCAGTTGGTCTTGGAAGCTGGGTCTTTTTCAGAATTGCTCTTCCTCTCTCTTTTCCTTTCACTCACTCGTTTTCATAAAACAATATTTTCGATCTAATGTAATACTATTGGGTACTTCAGCACAGCTTAAATCATGGTTTATATGGATTTTTTTTAGGATAAAACTACATGCATTTGACACCAGTTAAATGTTTTTGGACGCTGCAATGTAACTAACGCTTTACACTGTAAAAAGTAATCACTGAATCTACTTAAGAAAAGCGAGTAAACATAACTGATTTTTACAAATTTGTTGAATTTACTTAATTACACTGTGTTATGTGAACTTTCAGGTGGATGCAATAGTTAAACTAAACAACTTTAGTAAACAGTACTTAAGAGCATCTAGTTTGTTGGATTAAATCCCACTATGTGCCATAATAACTCTAGACCAGTAGGTGGCGGAAGTGCACCAATAGGTGGCGGAAGGTTGGTTTAAACAAAACATCACCAGAAGAAGACAACTAACTGAACTTCAGAGTCAGATCATATTTGTCCACGGCCTTCCACTCTTCCTTGAAAAGGACCTTACTGATTTTACAAGACATGTTTTGTAAGTAATTTTGTCTGTTATATTCTGGTTATTTAGTGTAATGCAGACAATTCTTGAGACCTGGCAAGAAAAAAAATCAGGACACAGAAACAATATAACATAAAAAGGAATAAAGAAAGTGAAAAAAAAAGCTTCTAAGGAAAAAAGGAAAGGGAATGTATAATAAAAGAACAGAGTTGGAAAGAAGAGAAAAAATACTTAAAGGATTAGTTCACTCAAAAATGAAAATTCTGTCATTAATTACTCACCCTCATGTCGTTCCAAACCCATAAGACCTTTGTTAATTTTCGGAGAGTACCACGACGCATGCACTGTGCCTTGTTTACAAGCATTCTCATATTTCATCAAAAATATCTTCATTTGTGTTCCGAAGATGAATGAAGGTCTTACTGGTTTGGAACGACATGAGAGAGTAATTAATTACAGAATTTTCATTTTGGGGTGAACCCTTTTTAAATAAGAGTAAGAAAAATAATATGAAGAAAGAAAATAGAAATTAGGTAACAAGGAGTCTGACAATTTAGATGAAGGAAGAGTAAAGGAAACAACACAAAGAGGAAAGAAGTCAGAAAGGAAGGACAGAAAAGAATAAAGGTAAGTAAGTGAAAGAAATATAAAAATCAAAAAGGAGGTTTGAAAGAAATAAAGAAATCAGATAAGCAAGAGAACAAAAACAAAGAGTCTAATATATGAGTGACCGTGACGTGAAAACCACTCGTTTAAGACATGGCCTATGAGGTGCTCTCTTGATCATGGTTTTGTGGTCAGTCTTTAGAAATCACACAAAAGAGAATATATATGTCAGTATTGAACCAAAATGCGTTTTTTTTTTACACTTTTCAAATGTCAAAGAAGCAGTTTCAGAATAGATTATTGTATAGCTGGCATACTGTTCAGTTTGTCTTGTCTTTTTGTACAACAGATTGAAATGTCTTTTTAAAATTTTTATCTGGGATCCACTGCTGTGCTCAGTTTGAAAAGGCCTTTATATTGGGTTTTTTTCTATTTATTTCCTGAGTGCAGTATGTGCAATTTTTCTTAGTGTTAAATTGTTGATTTGATAGCATGCCTAAAAATAATGACTTGAAGTAACATTGTTTTAAACAAATAAATGCCCTATTGTTGTGCTAACAATCTGTTTTCTGTCTTTGTATTAACAACTTTAAGTTTTGAGTACAGCTTACTTGAGAAATTTAAGGCAATCTGTTTCCACACATTTGTCTAGTAATGTGAACAAAGCAGACTTGTTAAGAGAACTGTTTTGTTTGAGTTCTGTGCACTAAGCTTAACTTACATCTCTAAGTTGGCTGAACTTGTCAAATTGAGTTAGCAACACTCAAGTTTTCTGGTAACCTCTACATATACACAAGTTACCTATACAAAGTTACAGTAAGTTTTATTAACTCAAAAATTATAAACTAATTTGCTTGAGAAATTTGAGGCAATCAGTTTCCACAGGTTTTCCAAGTAAGTTCAACTCATTACTTTTTCACGAAATATTCACGAAAGAAACTTACACTGTTGTATTGAGTGAAAACGCACCTGTGGGCACAACAATTTTACAAGTTAATGCCACTGATTTGGACGAGGGCCAAAATGGAGAGGTAGTTTATGCATTGGGAAATAATGTTGATGATAACTTACATGAACTTTTTCAAGTTAATTCAGTCACTGGAGAAATTATTGTGACTGGTCTGTTAGATTTCGAGGTAAAACATATATATGAAATTGACATTCAGGCATCTGACAAAGGAACTGTTCCTCTTGCGACGGATAAAAGTGTAATCATAAAAATAGTCGATGTAAATGATAATGCACCGGAAATGGAGGTGACATCATTTTCAAGCGCCATTCCAGAGGATTCTAAAACTGGTACTACAGTGGCTTTGATAAGCATCACCGATTTAGACTCCGGGCGCAATGGAAAAATTTCCTGTTCAGTATCCGATAAAATACCTTTTAAACTAATGCCGTCATCACACGATAATATTTATTCTTTAGTTACTTCTGGATTACTTGACAGAGAATCGAAATTTCAGTATGACATAAGATTAGTTGCAAATGATGCAGGAGAGCCATCACTGTCTTCTGTTAAATCTATATCTGTTCTGATATCAGATGTAAATGACAATTGTCCGGAATTCTCATTTTCCCCGTATGCGTATTATGTGATGGAAAATAATGTCCCAGGCAAAATATTATTTTCTGTTTCTGCTACTGACAAAGACTCAAACGAAAATGCTATAATCAGCTATCATATATGGAGAGAAAATAACGAGGAAAACAAATATGCATCTTTCCTTAATATTAACTCTGAAAACGGGGAGATTTATGCACTAAAGAGTTTTGACTTTGAAACTGTTAAAATGTTCCAGTTCCAAGTTGTTGCTACAGACTCTGGAACTCCGTCTCTGAGCAGTAACGTGACAGTGAACGTGTTTATTCTGGATCAATGACTGAATAAACTGTAAAAGTAATCGTGAGAGCGATAGTCGCTGTCCTTGGTGCTGAATACATGATGCAGCTTTCTGTTCTGCAAAGTTGTCTCATTCTTTCTATTTCTGTGCATATTTTAGGTGTATTAGACAAGCTCCAATAACTTAAAAATGGTTAATTTGTTTCATTATGAATTTGTAGCTTTGAATGAATAGCAATGCAATGAAAGAGCGCCAGGTGTCAGTGCAAACCTGAAGTGAAACTCAAAACCTTAAGAGTACCTCCCTGTTTTTTCGTCATCATTTAGATTTGTATATGATCTTTTTCATCAGCGGCGTGGCTTGCTCGGTGGTTTTGTCCTTTGCTTTTCTTCGTAATATCTTTCGAGGTTTAAGAAATCTTTCATGTGGTCATTGGACTAATATTTGGACAGTCGTTGTGAAATTGCTGTGGAACCAATACGTTGCAAAAATGGGACAAAGAAGACTTGAGCAGTGGCCTGAGCGGCATGTGAAAATCGTCTTCATTGTTGTATCGCTTGTTTTCGGCAGAACGGTTTGGGCGCAAATACGCTACTCGATTTCTGAAGAGCAAAAGGACGGAGCTGCTGTGGGAAATGTTGCAAAGGATTTGGGCATTGATTACAGAAACTTAAAGGAGCGAGGATTTCGTATCGTCTCGACTTCAGGCGAGTCAATGTTCAGTGTAAATCAGAATGATGGTGTCTTGTATGTGAACGGTAAATTAGATAGAGAGGAGGTGTGTGAAAGAAGCAGCCCGTGTTTAATAAATCTAAAAATCGCATTAGAAAATCCTCTCGAGATTCATTACGTGACTGTTGATGTAATAGACATGAATGACCACGTTCCGAGATTCCAAGAGCAGGAAAAGCATTTAGAAATAGGCGAATCGGTGATTCCCGGTGCGCGGTTTCAGCTTCAGGCAGCGCGCGATCCGGACAGTGGCAGTAATTCAGTTCAGACTTATAAACTGAGCCACACCGATCATTTCCGTATTGAGATTAAAGATCGCGATGAAGACGGCAAAGTTCCAGTGCTGATTTTACAAAAGCCGCTCGATCGAGAGGTTACAAAAAGGATGAAATTGCAGCTAACTGCTTTAGATGGAGGCAGACCTCCAAAGTCTGGAACTATGGAAATAACAATAGATGTGTTAGATATAAACGATAATGCACCTGTTTTCACCAAGGAAGCTTACATTGTAATGCTAAATGAAAACACTCCCGTTGGCACAACTATTTTTAGGGTGAACGCAACTGATTTGGATGAAGGTCAGAACAGCGAAATAGTTTATTCATTAGGGCATGACGTCAATGATAAACTGCGTAAACTTTTTAATATTAATCCAGTCACAGGAGAAATCGTTGTGACCGGTCTCTTGGATTTTGAAGTTAAAGATAAATATGAGATTGATATTCAAGCATCTGACAAAGGAATCGTTCCTCTAACAACAGATAAAAGTTTAACTATAAAAATTGCTGATGTAAATGACAATTCCCCTCAGATAGAAGTGACATCATTCTCAAGTGCTATTCCTGAGGACTCCAAACCCGGCACAACGGTAGCTTTAATAAGTGTCTCTGATTTAGATTCTGAAATTAATGGGAGAGTCACATGTTCATTACCTGAGGACATACCTTTCAAATTAATGCCGTCATCACAAGAAAATACATACACATTAGTGACAATATCATCTCTTGACAGAGAGACAATTTCTCGCTATGACATCACATTAGAAGCCAAAGATGCTGGTCAGCCACCACAATCTTCTGTTAAATCTATAACTGTACACGTATCAGATGTTAATGACAATGTTCCAGAGTTTTCTTTTTCTCCTTATTCATTTTATGTGATGGAGAATAATGCTCCAGGCAAATCTTTATTTTCTGTGTCTGCCTCTGACAAAGACACAAGTGAAAACAGTGTAGTCAGTTATCAAATATGGAGAGATGGTGTAGAAAACAAATATGCATCTTTCATTAATATAAACTCTGAAAATGGGGAGATTTATGCGCTAAAGAGCTTTGATTTTGAAACTGTTAAAACATTCCAGTTCAAAATTGCTGGTCAAAGACAATGGGAACGTTTCACTTTCAGCAACAGCGACTGTGATTGTCAAAGTTGTGGAGCCCAAAGAGGCTTTTGCAGCTTCTGATGTGAAAAAAACAGTAAATGAAGAGGAGGAAAACAATGTGACATTTTATTTGATCATCACTTTGGGCTCGGTTTCAGTGCTTTTTGTCATCAGCATCATCGTGTTAATTGTAATGCAGTGCTCTAAATCGACAGACTATTCGTCCAAGTATTTACAGGACACAAATTACGACGGGACTCTGTGTCACAGCATCCAGTACAGATCTGGAGACAAACGGTACATGTTAGTTGGACCCAGAATGAGTATTGGCTCTACTATAGTCCCGGGCAGTAATAGGAACACTCTAGTGATCCCAGATCGCAGGAGGAGAGGTTCTGGGGAGGTAAGAAACTTTAAAGGTTGATATATTTTTATTTTTATGTGTATTTTTATGCCATTACCATTTAGATATAGATTGTGGTGAAAGAGTTGCATCAACCTCTTATACATGCATTACTTGGACAGTGGATTTCTGGGTCCCAACATACTTTGCATGGGATTGGATCAGAATAGTATATGTTGAAATGTTTCTAAGTGAAGGATGTACTCACTAGTGTTTAATTTTCAGATTTAGAAGAGTTCATGTTGTTGCCATTTTTATGATTATTATTGTGCTGAAGCATGGATCTTGTACTTAGATCGTGGGCCTCTATGAAGACCATGGTGTTGCTTTACTAAATATGCAGTAGCTGTGCAAATGTCAGTGCAGTGTGTCTTTTCTTGTTTACTCTTCTCATACATTACAGTTAGTTGAAAATATTTATTAAAAATATATAAAACCATTTTTTGAACTGAAGATTAATTAGATATTTTGTGGTGAAATTCAAAGAATAAGTGAAGTTAAACGGATGTCTTTTCATTGAATTAATACGATTATTATTTCATGGTACATCCTATCTTTATTTATTTATTTATTTATTTATTTAGATGATGATGATGATGATGATGATTAGTAGTAGTAGTAGTAGTATGGTGGTCTATGTTTTTTTTCTTACATATGTTTAGGTAAACTAAGACTTACATTTTATAAGTAATAATTGTTATACAATCCTTGTTCTAAAGCTTTTAGTAAAAGAAGAGTGTTATAGAGTAGTCCATACTCTGAGAATTATTGGCCTTACACATCATGTTTTGTGAACTCCATGTACAGTATATGATATACTATGATAGCTTTACAATGTGAATTAAAGTTAGAATGTTTGTTAATAAGCTTCAAGTTCACATAAATATTGAGTGACAAATGATCCAGCTACTACCTGTTTGTTATAAAATGAATTACTTTCATAAAATGATTACTTTTCATTTCCAGTGAACTATGAACTAGCATACACTCTAATGCCATTGATTATTTGTTTAAAATTTCAACGTTCATGATTGTAACTAGGCTACATAAAGTGGACGGTTTTGGTTGGCATGAGATATAAAACTACAATACTACTGCAGTGGCTTGTAAACAATTAAAATCACTTCTGTGCGCCATTTGGACATACATCTCTTGTCTTAAATATGACTTATTTAAATGTTCATGTTATTCCACTTTGTTCATTTTTAGAATGTTTATCATTTTGTCAGACAAACCTGTTATTCGACTTAGCTTGTCTATTGTTTTAATTTTTCAGTTACGTTCGTTTGCAGTGAAAAATAAATTCGCATGGTGTCAGTGCGCACCAAAAATACGGACCTGACGTGGCATCGTGTGTTGGCAGTTTCATTCGCTCTCTTCATCAGTTCGTTAAGAACGCCGAGGACATTGCCTTCACAATCGCCAAGAGCTACCTGCTTCGTACGTAAGGATTTTCTAACATAAACCATGATTTTGATGGTCAGCGCTTAACTTTGTTATGGGTCAACATTTTAGAGTGGAACATCTTTAAACGCCGTTTTAATTTCCTGCAAAATGCAACAAAGGGCGCGTTCGTCATGGCGCCGCAGACTTTTATTCATGGCACTGGGAATACTGCTTTGGAGAGAGGTATGCGCACAGATACGATATTCTCTTTCTGAGGAGCAAAAAGAAGGATCTGTGGTCGGGAACCTTGCGAAGGATTTAGGTCTCGATACCAGAACGTTAAAGGAGAGAGGATTTCGGATCGTTTCAACCTCAGGCGACTCGCTGTTCACGGTAAATCAGAAAGACGGGATTTTAAGTGTAAATGGGAAAATAGATCGCGAGGAGGTGTGCGAGAGAAGCGGCTCGTGTGTCATCAATCTAAAAATCGCACTAGAAAACCCCTTAGAGATTCACTACCTGTCGATTGAAATTGTGGACGTCAATGATCATGCCCCGACATTCCCGGAAAAAGAAAAGCGGTTGGAAATATCGGAATCAGCCCTACCTGGAGCTCGGTTTCAGTTACAGGCGGCGCGGGATCCCGATGGCGGAATGAACTCTGTTCAACAATATAAACTCAGTCATAATGATAATTTCCGCATAGAGGTTAAAGATCGCGGAGAAGATCGCAAAATGCCCTTTTTAATTCTTCAAAAGCCTTTAGATAGAGAAACAAGCCGTAGACACAAGCTAGTCCTCACTGCGCTTGATGGAGGGCGACCCCCAAAGTCTGGGACAATGGATATAATAGTTGACGTTTTAGATGTTAATGACAATATGCCAGTTTTCACACAAGAAGTTTACTCTGTAACGCTTCAAGAAAATGTCCCTGTGGGCACAACTGTTATACAGGTTAATGCTACTGATATGGATGATGGTCCAAATGGAGACATTTTTTATTCGTTTGGAAAGGATATAGACAGTAGGCTTACAAAACTTTTTGATTTAAACTCCAGGACTGGAGAAATGACTGTGATCGGTCAAATAGATTTTGAAGAGATGAATAACTTTGAAATAGATATCCAAGCATCAGAC